GGATGAACACAGCAGGCCAAGCAGCATCACAGGAGCAGGAAGGCTGATGTTTCGGGCCTAGACTCTTCTTCAGAAACCCTTTCTGAAGAAGGGTCGAGGCCCGATACATCAGCCTTCCTGCTCCTCTGATGCTGCTTGGCCTGCTGTGTTCATCCAGCTCTACACCTTGTTATCTCAGATTCTCCAGCATCTGCAGTTCCTGCTATCTATCAAATGAGAATAATTCTTTTGTTTACATGTCAACCATCATCAAAATAGGAACTGAACCTAGGATTCAATTTATTTGTGTCTTTTTCAGAAATGAGTAGTTACTTTAGCTGTCATCAAGTCCAATTATCTAATTCTTCACACTGCCCTCAACCAATACCAAATCCAGTTACATCCTCAACATATGTTCCTCAACCTTCATCAGTTCCAGTCATCAGAACAACATCTGGCCCTAACCATTAGCAAGCATGTGTTCAACATGACTGCCTCAAACATTATTAAATTTTATCATGAGTTATAAATTATCCCAGAAACTGCACTCCCATTGTTTAATTTATTTGATTTCATAAATGCAAAATAATTTCACGTCTTCAGTATTTTTGAGAAGAATGATAAAACCATACTGAAGTGCAGGTAAAATCTGTTCCCAATTCCCTTGCATGGCCCTACCCTTTTCTGTTTTCATTTCCTCCATGTCCTTCTTGAGTTTTTCAATCTCAGTCATCAGCTCCTGGTTTCTCTTCTCACCATCTTGCAATTTGCTGGAACAAAAGCAAACACATTTTCAGAACAGGGTCCATGCTTTGTATGTATATTCATTTTTTTCAATTCATTTAGGGGATGTGGCTTTGCTGTCTGGGCCATCATCTATTGCCTAATCCTAGGTGCTTGAGAAGGTGGTGGTGAGTTTTCTTCTTGAACCACTGCAGTCCATTTGGTGTAGGTAGACCCACGCTGCTGTTAGGGAGGGAATTCAAGGATTTCCAAAAAGTCAGGGAAAGGTCATTCAACCCAAGAAGGCTTTACCTCCAGTGTCCAACTTTATATCAAATGCAACAGAGTCCCTTGTGTCATTTTTCCTCATTTAGTAAACTGCACTAATTAGTTTTTCCAATATGTGGCTTAAAAATGTCTTTTGTTAGTTTTCTGTTTATGTAATTTTCACCATATTTTAAATTAAAACCGAGTTTACTATTGCATTTTGGAGACAGGTATGTGTGAGAAGCACAGCTAGGTGGTAGGGAAGTACTGAGTGGAGTGCCTTGTAGCTCAGTAATGTTATAAATTGCTATTTTTAAATTACATAATTTGACCTGATTTCTGAAAGAGCGTATTGTTATAGGTTGAAGAATATCTGTGCACCATCCTAGAGTGGTAGGGCTCTGTTGGACACACTGGCTGTAATCCAGGGATAGCAAGAACTGCTGATGCTGGAGTCTGAGATAACAAGGCGTGGAGCTGGAGAAACACAGCAGGCCAGGCAGCATCAAAGGAGAAGGAAAGATGACGTTTCGGGTCGGGACACTTTTTCTGAAGAAGATTCCCGACTCGAAATGTCAGCTTTCCTGCTTCTCTGATGCTGTCTGGCCTGCTGTATTCCTCCAGCTCCACACCTTGTTACCTGGTTGTAATCCAGCTGTGTTGGACACACTGGCTATGATCCATCAGTCACACGGGATGCTGGTTGATTCACTATGTGATTCAGACTGTCTCCAAGCTGACAAACAGATATTAGATATTTCGGACAAGAAAATCTAATATAACTCATTAAAAACAATTTTGAGAACATATAATTCTTAGTGTTCTTTCAAGCTACATTGTGTTTTATTGTCAAAAAGCTTTCAACGATATTTTTAATCAGATTTATTTCAGCATCAGAAACTTGTAGAAATATGCCAGGAAAACCAGAGACCTCCAGAATATGGTCAAAGGCAAACATGTAAATGACAAGGTTTTAATTTGAACATCATAAAATGTCAAGATGACTAAAAACTATCCTTAAATGGTCCATTATGTTTTTTGGTATTTATTACCTTCTTTAATTAGATTTCTTTCATCACATACCATATGGTTCAATCAATTTTTTCAATGATCACACTGACTGAAGGTGACCTCACATTCCTATTACAATAATAACTGTACTCTCTGTATACTTCACAGTTGCTATGTCCTTCAGTACACCCTGATGGCTGTGAAATGCTTTACATAAATGTTCTTGTGTAGACTTATGAAAATAAGCTTCACCCCTGAAATGTGGCACTGGAAATCAGCATCCATGATGTGTGCTTGAATTACATCACTGCTCATTTCATGCATATACTACGTGGTAGGTGGTGGTGCCATCAGCTGCACAAGGTGCATACGTCTTAGGATTTTTAAGGTCTGGGCTTTTAAAAGAATAAAATGGTTTCCTTTTTGAACAGCAACAGAAAATCTGAAAATCTGATTGGAAATCAATAAAAAATGATTCAAAACAACTTTAACTGACTTTCATTTAACTCCAACAATGGTTTATTTATATTGTGCATTGAACCTTATCTACTTGTAGGGCAAAATGTGACATTTTTCTGTGGTTAGCTCAATTTGTTCAAGATTTACTGTTTGCTCACTACTTAAAAACTACAACAGCACTGCTGTAAAAGGCAGCTTCCTTCAGGGTGGAAAATATCTAGGAATGTAAATACTCCTCCAGTTTGACAATTTTCCAATTTCTATGCTCTTCCAATTTTGGCCTCCTGTGCATCTCTGATTTCAATTATTCCAACATTGGCAGTCTTGTCTTAAAGTGCCTCAGCTCTAGACCCTGGAGTTCACTTTACAGAGGGGCAGAGAGTAGGAACAATGGTCAGATACTTTAATTTGAAGGATATGACTCGTGATGCCCAGCACAATTCTGCTTCGGAGCCTAAACTACTTACTCTTTTTATTAACAATAATGATGGATTGGAAGTCACATATCCAAACTTACTAATGACAGAAGGATGAGTAAGTAATGTAGATGGAATTACAACAATATTAATAGAGTATGCAATGGACAAACTGATGGCAAATAGATCTTAATGCAGAGAAATGTGAGGTGGTCACTTTGGACCTAGGAAGGTTAGAACAGGGTACTAGCTTCCATATCCTTCTCCATAGTAAATACTGACATGAAATATTTGTTTAGTATCTCACCCATCTCCTGTGGTTCTACTTATAGAAGGCCACTTTAAGAGGCCCTATTCTCTCCCTAGTTACTCTTTTGCCCTTAATATATATATAGTATCTCTTTGTATTCTCCTTAACTCTATTTACTAATCTATCTCATGTCTGCTTTTTGCCTTCCTGATTTCCCTCTTTAGTATACTCCTACTGCCCTTCTACTCTTCTAGAGATTCACTCAATCCCAGCAGTATTTACATGATATATGCCTTCTTCTTTTTCTTGACCAGTGCCTCAGTTTCTCCAGTTATCCAGTATTCCTTACAACTACCAGCCTTGCCCTTCATACTAACAATAACATACTGTCTCTGAACGCTCGTAATCTCATTGTTAAGGGCCTCCCACTTCCCAACCATCCCTTTTACCCACAAAATTTCTGCTTCAATCAACTTTTGAAAATTTCTACTGTCAAAACCGGCCTTCCTCCAATTTAGAACTTTAACTTTTTGATCAGTTCTATCCTTTTCTGTAACTATTTTAAAACTAAGAGAATTATGATCATTTGTCCCAACATGATTCCCCACTGATACCTCAGTCACCTGCCCTGCCATATTTCCCAACAAAAGGTCACATTTTGCACCTTCTCAAATAGGTACATCCACATACTGAATCAGAAAATTTTCTTGTACACATTTAACAAATTCCTCTCCATCCAAGCCCTTAACACTATGATTATCCCAGTCTATGTTTGGAAAGTTAAAATCCCCTACCATAACCACCCTATTATTCTTACAGATAACTGAGATTTTCTTACATATTTGATTCTCAATTTTCTGCTGACTACTGGGGGGGTTTACAGGACATTCCCAATAAGGTGATCTTCCTTTCTTATTTCTCAGTTCCACGCAAATAACTTCCCTGGATGTTCTCCCAGGAATATCCTCCCTAAGTACAGTCATAATACTATCCCTAATTAAAAAACGCTGCTCCCTCTCTTGACCTCTTTCTATCCTTCCTATAGCATTTATACCCTGGAACATTAAGCCAGTCCTGCCCTTCCCTGAGCCATGTTTCTGCAATAGCTATGATATCCCAGTCCCATGTTCCCAATCATGCCCTAAATTTATCTGCCTTCCCTGTCGGCCTCTTGCATTTAAGTAAATGCAGTTTAATTCATCAGTTTTACCTCATTTTCTGCCAAGCTCTTGTGTGCCTTGACTGTTTGACTTGCTTCTTTTATATACTGTACCAGCCTGAGACTTTTCTCTTTTCGCGCTATCGCTTTGGTTCCCCACCCCGGTCCCTTACTGGTTTAAAGCCTCTCGAGTAGCACAAGCAAATCTCCCCACCAGGATACTAATTCCCTTCCAATTCAGGTGGAACCTGTCCCTCTTTTACATGTCATTTCTACCCCAAAGAGATCCCAATGGTCCAAAAAGGTGAATCCTTGACCCCTGCACCAGCTCCTCAGCCACACATTCATCTGATCTATCCACTTCTCACTAGTGCGTGGCATCGGGAGTAATCCAGATATTACTAACCTTGAACACTTACTTTTTTAACCTCCTGCCTAGTTTCCTATATCCTTTCTGCATAACATCATCCCTTTGCCTACCTGTGACATTGGTACCAACTGAATAGAAGACTAAAAGCTTTGACAAAATGTGTCTTTTTCCAGCGATAACTCAAGTTCTATACCTCGAAACAAATATTCATTTCATTATTATCCTGTTTTTATCTTCTTGCCAGAATAGATAATTTCCTAATTTCCAGGAACTCTTTCACATGACTTAAACTTCAGACTGCCTTTTAATATCAGAACAGACAATAAGCAGCTGCAGGCTCAACTAAAACCTGCTTCTACTCTTGACCTCTCATTAGCCTTGATTTCCAAGAAGAATCCTGTATTTTGTGTGAAAAGTGAACTAACTCTTAGTGTGCAAGAATTGTATTGCAGCGCTTTTAACCGCATCCACCTGCTTCAAATAATTCTGCCAGAACAGCTAACTCTAAGAATCTTCGCCGGTCACTGACTTGTTGGAATTGAAGACTGTGAACAGTCACTGGAGCTCAAAACGTTAACTCTGCTTTCTCTCCACAGATGCTGCCAGGCCTGCTGTGTTTCTCTAGTAATTTCTGGTTTTGTTTCAGTACTCCAGCGTCTGCAGTTCTTTGTTTTAAATTATTGACTTACTGGACTCTGATTAATGTGAATTATTACTACTAACTTTTTCTTTTCAGCTGTCCATAACTGTAGTTTTTCTCCCTTCTATGCTTTGTGTATGTGCTGTAAAAAATGTATCCCTCAATTGAAAGCCTTAATTCATTTTGTCTTTATCCTTAAACTTTCCCCTCATCATTTATCAAGATCTTTATCTAATGATACATGATATTTAGTTGTTAACCCACTTGGAGACAGTAAGGACTGCAGATGCTGGAAGCTAGAGTCAATAAAGGTGGAGCTGGAAAAGCACAGTAGGTCAGACAGCATCCAAGGAGCAGGAGAGGCAATATTTTGGGCCAAAACTCTCTATCAGGACACTGAAGAAGGGTTTTGGCCTGAAATGTTGATTTTCTTGCTCCTCGGTTGCTGTCTGACCTGCTGTGCTTTTCCAGCTCCACAGTTATTGACGTTAACCCACTTGCCCTAGGAAATCCATTTCCCCCATTTACTCTTTCATCCTTAAATTGCCAATTATGTTACCTTTCAACCCTTCCCTTCCAACAAAAGTTCTAATATTTCTCTACATAACAGAAATCTCTCATCCATGGTTACATCTGATAAAACTTCTCTGTAGTTTTTTCTAAAACCTTTCTCCCTTTCCCATCCAGAATTGTTTACAATAGTCCAGCTGAAACACAAGCAGTGATTTATGACATTTTAGTATGATCCCTTTGCTTGTACAACAAATCTTTATTAACTGGCACCAGTGGGACCAGGAGTGTGCCAGTTGATCAAATATTCTGGATAATAAAGAGGTACACATAACCTCAGCAAACCCTGACTAAATGAAGCTTCAAGACATCAACACCCCTCAAAAATATATGTAAAAACATGAACACATCTCCTAAAATCAATGTAAAATCACACAGTAAGCAAGAGAAATTTAATGCAGAGAGTATATACATTACAGGTATACTTTATTTACGGCATAAATACTTGGACATCACAGTATTTGAAGACTATAATTTTTGCTGGTTTATCAAGAATGCCAGTTGATAAAGTGCCAATTAAAACAGCGTTTGCTGAATATTCTATTCTTCTATTGATAAACCACCTTACTAACTTCCCCGATGCGTTTGAGCATTGTGTACATGGGCACCAAGGCCTCTTTGCTTCACTACGTTTCACAATCATGTTGTTCAAACTATACTGTATTTCCATTGTAGTTTACCCAAATGTATTACTACACACGTCTTGACATTGAACCCTATCTGCCAATTTCACCACCCTATTTAACCATGTCACCAGACAATAACTAGCTTCATTAGCTTTGTCTAGTTTTGGAGCATCCACAAACTTTAAAATGCTGCTTCTGGCACTGCAGTTTAGGTCTAGGTTACAAACATTGAAAACAGTAAAGGTGCCCAAAACTAACCATGGCAAACAACATTATTACCCACCAGAGTCTCAAAAAAATCCATCCACCTACTACCCCTTGCTACCTAGCCTAATTTTTTTTTAATCAATACTGCCAGGTTCCCTTTAATTGCACCTTATAAATAAGCCTTCCACGTGATATTTTGTTGATTTTCTTACAGAAATCCACATATAACATTCCGCTGTACTACTTTGATAAGCTAACAAGGAAGGCTGATCAAAGAATTTAACCAGGTTTGCCAGACAAGAAGTACCTCTCATAAAACTATGCAGGGTCTCCTTGGTTATCCCATGCTTTTTCAAATGAAAGTTTGTTTTCACTTTAATTTTGGTTTCCAGTAATTTCTTTATCACTGATGACTGACTGATTGGCTAACCTGAAGCCTGTTGGTATATCCTTCTCTCTATTCCTGGATAGTGGGATTACATTAGCAATCCTTGAGCTCTCTAACACTGCAGATGCATTCCAGATGGAAGTGACTTACCAATTTTCAGTAGTATTAAGCTTTTTTGTACATCTTCACTTACCACTATCCCGTGGTTAACTACCATCTTGTCTTTCAGTATAACTTTCAGATCAGCTACATTCTTTGTGAAGATGGGTACAAAGTATTCACTCATACAATTTCTACATCTGTTTCCACATAGATATTTCCTTTTGGGTCCTTAATTGGCTCAACCTGTTCCCCAGTAAAACACTTCTAAAATGTTTTCCGTTCAATTTACTGCTGCCTATTCTTTTCTCGAAACTTCTTCTTGTCTACCATATTAAACCTTTCACTTCTTTCTATAATCTTCCTGAATGTGGTTTCTGACATTTGTTGCGAGCCTTTTCCCGTTTTATATTAACATTCATTTCCTTTGTCATCCCAGGTACCTGAGCTTTGATGATTCTATCTTCCCCCTTCAAAGCAGTATGTTTAGTTTGCACTAAGCTCTCCCTTCTCCAAATGCCTTCCTTTGCTCTGTCACTGATTTATCCTGGAATTAAGTTTTCCAAACAACTTGTGCTAGATCCCCCCATAAAATCATGAAGAATAGATTTTCTCCCTTTGAGCATTTTCACTGTTGTTGTTTTCTTGTCTCTTTCTATAAATCTTTTAAACTGAAGTACATTGTGCCCATTATTATCTTGATGACCTCCTACAATAACACAGTCTACTAGCTTTACTTCATATTAACAGATTTATGAGCTTTATCTCACAGGGCTCTTTGCAGCTTTTCCCAAGCATAGGTCTACTGACATTTGAGTTCTGATCTGTTCTCGATAGAAGATTTGTATATCATGTTTTAATTGATTATAAGTAGCTTTAAAAATTAGCTTCAGTGTTATTGTTTAGTAAAGTTAATTGTTTCTGTCACCAGGAAGACCAAAATATATGACTAGTTGTACTATGGGAGATATCTGTTGTGGATGGATATCCCGTGATGCCATCATAGTTCAGTAATTAATTTAGTAGCTTCTGGGAAGCTGAGAATGCTGTTTTACGTGTTAACATATACACTGACAGATGGTGTAAGAAAGTTCAATTTTTGAGACAGCTGAATCATGAAGGTGTGATGCTGGCAGGGAGATGCTAAAACCCAACAATAAACATCTTTCCCCAAAATGAGAAAATTTGTTTGTATTCACAAGTTGTCTGTCAACCTCAAAAGGCATATTTCTATTTTTTAAAAATTCAATCATGGGACATGGGTATCACTGTCTTGGCTAACATTTATTGGTCATCCCTAGTTTCTGTTAGGAAGGTGGTGATGAGCTGCCTCCTTGAACCACTACAGTCCATTCACATTGATACTACTTGAAATGATTCCATTGGTATAAAATTATAGCTTTGATTAGTCTGGACATCTGAATTCAGAGTCATTTGAGGTCACAACATGAAGATCTTCAGGAGGACTACATCATTTAAGGGATTGGTCACTTTCCAAGTCATGTCAGAAATACATTCATATGAACATGCAAATTAGAAGTAGGCCATTCTGTGTTTTGAGCTTGTTATACCATTTGATAAGATCATGGCTGATCTGTTTATGTCTCAATTCCACTTTCTGATGCCATTTGATTCCCTCACTAGTCAAGAAGCTATCCACACATTCTTAAAAATATTCAATGATCCAGCCTACACAACTCTCTGGAGAAATGAGGTCTATGGTCTCATTATCCTCTGAGAGAAGTTCCCCTCTTCTGTGTATTAAATGGGAGAGCCACTATTATAAATGGAGTCCTGTAGTTTTCTGCAAGAGGAAAATCCTTTCAGCATAGATGCTGTCAAATCCCTTCATGCCTTGTTTCAATAATATGTTCCAAATTATATTCTTAAAGTCAAAAATTAATTCTATCCTTACTATTTAAATACGTCATCATCATATTCCTTGTAGCTCACTACTTTGATGAATACTTGATTTGCAAACAAATCCACCATGTACACTAGTGTCTGGGAATCAGCATTATCTTGAATGCCCAATTGCACAATGAAAGTGCAATTCTTAAGTGTGGAAATACTGTCTCAGATGCAGCTTATATACAAATAGAAAGTTCTTCACTTAGGATGTTTGGTCTTATTATGGAAACTGCCTTGTTCTGAATACAGGTAAAAGATGTACTTGGAGAAAGATGAACCATAACTGAGAAAAGCAGGCAGTTCTCACTTTGGACAAACCATGATGCAGTTTAGTGAGCTCACCATTCAGTAGATATGCTGGCTGCTTTGACCTTATTAAGCTCATCTTGGATTGCTTGTTTGGCTCGGATCTCTGCTTCGAGTGCTGATTGTAGTTCCAGTCGAGCTGACATGTCTACTTTCTGAGACCGACGCATCTTCCATGGCATATCCTGAGAAAGAGAAAAGTAGATAGAGTTACAGAAGGGAAAAGGAGAAAGAGAATCATTTGATTGTATTGTACTATTGATTTGTTCTTTAAAAGATGAAGCAACTCTGAAAGGTGTATCTCTTTCACACAGTCAGAATTTGCCATTATTAACTGCAAGTTCCAGCTGAGGCTTAGCTTCCAACACAAGCTAGGCTGAAGGCTGAAGAGGAACCCAAATAGATCAAGTGTCTCACACCCATTTTTATGAGAACTGACTTATTTTATGGTTTGGTGAATTCCTTTCACTGAGAACTAGGGGCCACATTGTAAAGGATACACACCATAAGTGGCAACAACAAACATGCTTAGGATGGGTTTTGCAGCCTTTTGAAACTGGTGCACTTTGTTCATTACTGACAAGTTCATAGTGAATCAACATAAGGCAATGAGGATTCAGCCAAAACCAGTTCTGAATGTATGTGAAATGAGGGGGTCTAAGTGCACATAGTGAATGAGAGATGGGGAAGTTTAGGAAGTATCTTAGTCCTGATGAATTGGCCATTGTGGTGTGGGCAGGCTCGATGCATCAGTTATTTGACTGTCCATATACTTGTAAGAGCTTGTACCTGGAAAGAAAACAGTTACTGGATTTTACAGCCCAGATTTAAAAAAAGGAAAATCCTTACTGTTGCTCGTACTCCTAAACTGGAATTTCTCAAAGATTCCAACTCCTCAGTCATCTTAGTTGCCAGTGCCTGAAGGTAGCCTCGAGCATCTTTCTCATCACTCACCCTGAAAACAGCAAAGACAGTTAAATCATACTTATACACTGGAGACTGCAATTCAGAGAAGGACAGAGACAAACAACAAAATAGATAGAAAATTCAGCAGTAGGTTTTAACCATGAACGGTGGAGAAAATGAGCAAAACTGAGGAAACATATTTAACTGTCGATTTGAGATTCTTTTACATTACATGATTCTGTGTCTAGCCAGCGAATTCCTCTAGTAGCCACTCATAAGTGTTTACACCATAGGAGGCCATTCAGCCCATCGTGTCCACACTGACCAACAAATAGCGGACTATATTATTCCCATTTTCCTGCTCTTGGCCCATAGCCATGTGATCCATAGCATGACCAATAGCCATGGGATCCAAGGCAGTGGAAGTGACTATCTAATACTGCTTAAAAGTTACAACAGCTTCTGACTCAACCATCCTTTCAGACAGAGAATTTCAGATTCTTATCACCAAATGGGTGAAACTCCCTGCTTAATCTTATTCCTCATACCATAAGTCTATGTCTGCTGCTTACTGATGTCTCTACTAATGGAAAAAGTACCTTCCTACCCAACCTATCTGCGTCTTTCATAATCTTGTGCACCTCTATCAGGCCCCTCTCAACCCTAGCTGCTCCCAGGAAACAGCTCAAATCCTATCAAGTGTTTCCTCATAGCTCAGAGCCTCCAGCGCAGGCAGCATCCTGGTAAATCTCTCCTGCACTTTCTCTAGTGTAACAGAACTGCACACAGTACCCAGTTGAGTCCGAACCAGTCTCTTATACGGTTCCAGCATAACCTCCCTATTCTTATATTCAGTGCCTTAGCTAATAAAGGAAAGTATCCCATATGCCTTCTTAACCACCTTATCTACCTGTTCTGCCACCTTCAGGATTCTGTGGATATGCAAACCAAGGTCCCTCTGGCCTACAGTGCTGCCCAGGGTCCTACCATTCATAGTGTAATCCTTTGCGCTGGTACCCTTCCCCAAGTGCATTATCTCACACCTTTCTGGGTTGCATTCCATTTGTCATGGTTCTGATGACCTGACTAGTGTTGATTTGCTCCTGTAGTTTACACTAATCCTCCTCACTATTTATTGCCCTATCAATTTTTCTGTCATCTGCAAACATCTTGATCATCCCCCATTACGCTCTAGGAAGTCTCTCTCTCCTACTGAATTTTTATAAAAGGAAATCTTCCTGGTTACAGAAATACTTACAAGTTATTCATTAGACCCTTTCATAGACACAGATCAAGCCCACATGCCACTAGTTCAAAATCCAAATTCCAAAACAAATGATTCTCAAATATATACAAATTACACAACTTCATCAAATGCAATAGGAAGTTTCACAATGTACTATGAAAGCAAATATACCTGCAAGTCAGCATAAGTAGTGTTTCTATATCCAGCATAACTTTCTTTGGAGCTATCACCATTTAATGTATCGAAGATGAGGGTGAGGAAAGGAAGCAAAGAGAAACTTTACTCCTAGTGTTGGGCTATGTAATCATGACTGAAGTTAGTTGCAAGGATATCAAACACAAATATGGGAAATACTTTATAGTACAGAAGTGATGTGTGGAACTTGCTGCCAAAGGGAATGGTTGAAACCGACAGTATAGATATGTTCATTAAGTAAGTACCTGAACGACAAAGAAATAGATGGCAAGTTAGATGAGGAAGGAGTGGGGGCAGCTGGGGTTGAACATAAACACCAGCATAGAATGGCTAGGCCAAATAACAGTGCAGTAAGAGGCATTGTAAGAGGTGAATCCACGGCTGACACCAAGAAGTTCTTTCTCATAGAAAGGAAATTGTGGTATTGTGGTTATGTTACTCGGCTAAAAATATAGGGCCACAAACTAATGGTCTGTGACCACAAGCTCATTAATGAAGTTGGAACTGAATGATAGTCTCAGTACAGTATCATGAAACAGTTAAATTGTTCACAAGAGAGACATGTTGTCAAGTCTTTTTTTGCCTTGTACTGATCAGGATAAATCCAAGAATGCCAAATTGTAAACAATGCAATAAATTTATATATAGGAGACAAGAGTACTGAGTAAGCATAAAAATTAGAAACAGTCTATCAAGTGGCAAGTATCATTCACGTTACACAGACGCCAGGAAATGAGTACCTTTAACAAAAATCTATCACACCTTGACATTCAATGGCATTACCATCACTGCATGCCCCACCATCAATATCCTGAGGTTATCACTGATCAGAAACTGAATTCCACTGAATTTAAGTACTGTCGGTATGAGAGCAGGCCAGCTACATAATCCTATAGTGAGTGACTCACATCCAGACCCACAAAGCCTGCTTACTATCGACAAGCTACAAGTCAAGAACGTGATGGAATACTTCCTATTTGCTTGGATGAGTGCAGATTGAGCAACATTCAAGAACTTTGACACCTGCCCACTTGATTGGCACCACATCCATAAACATCCACTCTCAGTAGCTCAGTATACCAATCTGCAGACCATCCACAAAATGCTTTCAGTAATTCGCTAAGGCTTTTTAGGCAGCACCTTTCAAACTTGCCATGCACTACCACCTAAAAGGAGAAGGACAGTACAAACATGGGAATACCATCATCTGCAAGTTCCGCTCCAAACCACACACCATCATGATTTAGAAATATGTTGCCATTCATTTATTGTTGTTGGGTTAGAATCTTGGTACCCCCTCCCTAATAGCATTCTACTGATCTATCTCCTAGCCTAGTATCCCAGTTCACTGCAGCTGTTTCAGCTTTCATGCCCACATAGTCAACCTTATTTAAGCTTAAAATACTTGTCTTAGTCCACTCTTCTCCCTTTCAAACTTGATACATAATTCAATTATGTTATGACTGCTGCTACCTTTACTCTGCGGTCATTTATTAATCCTGTCACAATACCAGGTCTGATGTAGTCTACTCTCTAGTTGGTTACAGAACATGATGCTCTAAGAAACTATCACAAAAGCATTTTGGACTGACAGCAGCATGCTAATAGTGAAAATTACTGTTTGGGTAGCCATTGCATATTGCAGCATGAAACAGACTCCTTAGCCTATTACTTGAGCCTTTAAGTTTGCTGTAAGTGGCCTAAATTTTATTATGGGGTGAGAACACGACAGGACATACAAAGCTGATGGAATGAGAAGAAACAGGCTGAAAAGAATTAATGCAGAGAGGTGGGCAATGATATAGTTCGATAGGAAGAAAAGAGGCATTATACTTCTAAAGGGGATGCAGGAGCAGAGGGCCTGTGGGGTATGCACATAAGTCCATTGAAAATGGTGGGATACAACAGAAATATGGACAATAAAGCATAGGGAATCTTGGGATTTAAAAACAGAGGCACAGACAGTGCAAAGAAGGGAGGTTATAGCAAACCTGTACAAATAATTGGTTTGGCCTTAACTGGAGCATAATTAGATAACACTTTAGGAGAAATGTTTTGGTATTGGACAGAGTGCAGGAAAACTTCAGTTACTTGGATAGATTGAAGAACCTGGGGCTCCTCTCTCTAGAAAACTGAAGGGAAAGTGGAGATATGATAGAGGCATTCAAAATCACAAAGAGGACTGGACAGATTAGATAGGGAGAAACTGTTCCCATTAGAGATAGGGTTAAAAACCAGAGGACTGTGACCTACAGAGTAATACAGAATGTCAGCACTGCTGAAAAAGACCCATTCTGTTCAAGTTTTTCAACTTGCATTCATCAGGACAATTGTAAGAAATATCAATGTCAGAGGAATAAAAGGAGAGTTGGCAAGGGAGGCACTGATTGGTAGAAGTGTTGCCATGGAGAATACACCAATTAATGATGACTGACAGTTAAGTGTCAAGTTTTGTTTAAATTCTGAGTTAGGTGTGATGACTCTGATTGGTCAAAGTATTGCCCTGAGAAATAAATCTGAAAACAAATGCTACCAATTTTGTTGAGTTAAAACAGACATAATCTGTGTAGATGTTCTTTAAGGCCCTGGGTATCAATACATGTAACTTCCAGTATACACAAGTATTGCCACATTGCGAGCCAGACAGATAATCTTAAAGTGGTTGTCAATGTAATTCTTCTCCCACTTGGGATTGCTTAGCTCATGTTACCCAATCACCGAATCACATCTAATGTTGAACATGTGTTCAGCATTCTGCAAGCACAGGTTGGTGGGTACAGCCAGTATCTTGCTGGTTGTGCACAGCCGAAGCATTCTGTTTGATACTATTTGCCAGTACTTGGGACGTATGGCCTTCATATTTAGTATCACACTGGCAATGAAATCTACATAGCACATTAGTCATTTGTGTGATAGAACACTCTTTTAGATTGACATCAGTATCTGTTTGTAGTCAGCACCACTCATGTTGCCACTGCATGCTGCATCTGTTACTCAAAACTTTTTGACACCTTATCCTTCCAGGGTAATTTGAGGTAGACTGAGCACTTTTGAGGACCAAATGTGGTAGCCTGAGGCTGTTCAAACATCTCCACAATGAACAGCGAGAAATGTTCTGATCCGTCTCATTATCCTATCTGATTGGTTGATGGACCTTGTTTAAACATCTAGGTTACATGATGAATAAACAACTCGGGCTCTATTTATGATGTTGCTGATAAATTTAAAGTGAGTGCATCTGTAGGAATCCCAACACTCAACAAAATAAATGATAGCCTGGTTCATTTCTCAGGACATTACCTGGACCATTCAAAGTCAACCTGCCCAGTTTAAAATTTAAATGAAGATTCGCAATTAACTGTCAGTCAAAGTTAACTAGTGCCTTTGCCATTGCAATGTCTCTGCCAATCAGGGTCCACTTGCCAACCAATTAGCATCCTCCTCTCATTAAGCATAAATGCTGTTTTCCCTTTACTTTGATATTTTGTGAGAATTGGCCTGATAAGTACAAGATGGAAAGCTTTAATAAAACCTGTATTCTTTCAGCAATACACCAATTTAAGGTGACTGGCAAAAGTATCAGAAATAACATTAATTTTATGCAGTGA